GTGATACGACTCATGGAATGTTCATCTAACGTTGCACTGACAGAACACGTTTCATATCGTCTGTGTATCTCAAATGGATATCGGGGCCCGGTAGTACGAAACCTGGATAGCGCTATCCGACGTATGAATCTTATCCAGTGGATAGATTYATTGGAAGACAGCAGCGACTTATTCTCTGGATAAGGATTTAYCCACAGGACAGCGCTATCCAGGCTTCGTACGACCGGGCCCAGAGGATAAGTATGTCATTTCCCAGAATATCGTTCGATCTTAGCTTCTAATAACTTATGTTTTGAGACCATCAATGATTTTATGTGCATATATTCACGTGTCATTCCCTAGAGGATTATGTTTTTGTTTTACGGACACACGAATAGACCCTTGCACGTGACGTCAAAGTAGCTCGTTCTGGGGGACAAAACATAAGAATTCCAATCTCCTGAGAATTGGAACCTAATTGAACCAAGGGGTCTATAGGGATACAATTCAAACAAACAATCTTATTTCCAGTAGAATGACATGTCAGTGTGTGAGTGGGAAAATCTTGCGCCCAAGCGAATAAAAAACGCCAATTTGTTGTGGATGCATAAATATTTATTTTCGTGGTATTTCTTTTCCCTCCTCACAGATGGCAAGCGTTCCAGAACATTGTCAAACAACACAATCTCGATCATATAGGGATAACTCATTTCAGCTGTGAGGTGCTAAAAAAGTATGGTTTGACCAACCACTACGATCGGCCCGCCAAGGTTTGCTTGAATGGAAAGYTCTACAATGTTTACTTCTTGAAGTATTTAGAAGAGATCTTCAAAGAAATAAGAGAGACAGACGATAGCGCTCCTATATTCTTGTACCAGCATTTTAACAGTGGCCATACTGATACGGGGTCTAGAATACGTAACGATGATCGTGGACTTGCAGAATTCATCCATAACATGGCCAGGTAAGATTGGATCGAAACGAAATCAAATAAATGAATAAACAGTGGCATTTCCATATAGAGTAGCTCTTCGTCCACAAAATTCCAATTGGAATTAAGACGTTGATTTTTGCGGAGGGAAGAAAACCGGAGAGCCCGAAGAACAACCCTCGAAGCACAGGAGAGAACCAACAAGCATCTCTACTCACGATCACACTGACGACACCGATCCCGGGAATCAAACTAAATGAAGAGAGCTGTCCACAGTTTCTAGTTGAGCTGGCTCATTTTTTACGCGACTTGAAGTTGTGAAAGGCTTGTATGGCACTCTTCTTCAGTCGTTTCATCTAAGGCTCGTAATTTACTTATTACGCATGTTCCTAAATGAAGAGAGGCGAGCGCTCCCACCGCTACACCACCCCTGCTTATCACGTGACATCAGATTTATTCTTTTCAATTTCATTTTAAACATTTAAACATTTTCATATGAACAAATATGACCGCGTCAAACGCGCGGAAATTAAGGCATTGTTGGATTTATTAAAAGGGTCTATAGCTCAAAGTTATTTCTTAGTTATCAATGAATAATAGCGAGTGGTAGCTTACTATAGAAAATTTTTCTTATTTTTCTTTCAGAGATCCCAACACGTTGACAATTCTCATGGCAGACCATGGCCACACGCGCACTGGTTATGGTGTAACAGAAGAAGGAAGACACGAGCTCTACCATCCACATCTCTTCATGATTCTGCCTAATAACGTGGCAGACTTATTAGGCAAACAAAGAACCRAAGCATTAGTATACAACCAACATCGCCTACTATCAGCCTACGATCTTCATACGGCACTCATGTCACTACACGACGAAGACAAGAAATTTTCCGTGGATTATAAAGTCAACGGCGTGTTCTCTAAAATTCCAACCAACAGAACATGTAGTGATGTACCTTTGATGCCGCTAGCTCGATGTCAGTGCGAAGGAGCGGATTCCAAAGTACAAGATAATTCCAACAGTCATAGATGGCTGGCGGAGTTTGGTTTAGGAAGTTTGAACAATATTATCCAGGAACAGTTTTCCAAAGGTAATCACAAACACAATATCATCTTTAGGCGAGTGCTTCTCACAATTCTTGAGCTCTTTCGGCGCTTACTACGTGCTGTTAGTAGTACTGGGGGCAGTACTAAGTTTGTAGTACTAAGCATGGATAAAGGTGTTTTATCATATAAGGGAAAAAAATCCGTTGTAGTCAGTTTTCGTTATTTTTGTTTCTTTTTTCCCCTGTTTTCTGCGCGTGCGGATAAGATCAGCAAACGTGCAACACTCTTACCAACTGAGCTAACCCGCTGGTGGTTACACCGATATTTTTTTCCAACGCAACTAAATTTTAAAGACAGCGAAGTATTGCCAGCAAAGTTGCAGACGTGCTTACATGGCGAAAATAGTTTATTCGTAAGTATAATTGCCTTTTAGTGAACTAAGTATTKTCCCTATTTATCTTACAGGCCTAGAAAAGAATTCCGTGCTCAAAGGATATGGAAACTGTGTTCGGCTCATCGGCTCTTCGTTTCGGAACATCATTCAAAGCAACACTGGTTCTCTAACGAGACTAGATCTGCATGTTGATAGTAAAACCTTTGGTTTAAAAGAGGACGAAATATTTACTGTTGCCATTGAGTTGAATGGARAGACACCAACCCTCAAGTCGTACGTCAGGCGAACTTTATACAACAAGTTTAAAGACTGTGTCGATAGCAACGTTGATATYAAAATCTGCGCGTGTGATAAARCRAAACCAAAAAGTAACCAAACACTTCGAGTATTGAAGACAGAAGACATGAAGAGTCTGTTATCATCTCCGATGTTTGGAGCTGAGGCTGAAGTCAAAGATCTTCACGGAGGCTGTCTATTCCAGATAACACGACATCACCCGAGTAAAATAAGCATTGCTTACGAAGTCGCCAACTCGTGCCAAGGACAAACTTWTCAAATATCTGTGAGCGGGTCTCTGTATTATATTCTTTCTTCGAGACCGTTTCCCTTCGAAGTAACCGTACAACCTAATAGTATATATTTCTTATTTTCAGCGGGCAGACAAATTTTAGGTCATAGTCATATGGATATTACAATATCAGCTAGAAAAGTCTGAATATAATGCTTTTGAAATCAGTTCGATTCAGCGCGGTTTTATATAAGAGGATGTTAAAGAGTAGCACGTGCTCTTGAAAATACGTCCATAGATTCTTTTATAACGAGAAATGAATAGGAAAATGTTTGGGAGAGTCTCATTAGGTGAGGTATTTTGYATCGGTAGCTTTATCGCTGAAAGACTTGTATGAACCTAGATTACACGGCATCATGTTTATTCCCATGAGAACAAAAGCCGTTGATTAACTTCGTCCTGAAACACTTGATTGCGGGGTTACGTGTGGGAAACATATTGTGCCAATCAAGTGGACCAACTCCACTTTGGCGTAGTTTTTGCCCTTTTCAGACCACGTGTCAGTCTMTTGAGAATAAGATTCTTTGTTGGAGTCGTATTCATATTCATGTGTCTTCTCATGCGCAACCGTTAAACAAAGTAATAATGCTCTAGAGAATGGCACGTGGTCTAAAATGGAAAAACAGTGTCTATTGTGTACAGAAAGGTCCATAGCAATAAATTATGACCAGGATCGAATCATTGATTCTTTTCAATAAAAAATCAATCGACCGAGTCAGATTCAATTGGCAGGGGAGGGCTCAGAGGTTAGTTTCGAACCTATCTATCTAACCATAGTTAATAGAGGGGAATGGTTAGGAAACCTATTGTTTTCAGGTCATTGTTCGCTTTTGGGCCCAGTTGTTCAAAGCCCGATTAGTGCTAATCCTTGGTTAACTCTTAATAAGACCTATAGAGTTAATTCTGGTTTAGCGCTAATCCAGCTTTGAACGACCCGGCCTTGATGTTGAACCGGTCTTGACCGTGCACAATGTTTGATTTATGCACATCCAAAATTGCAAAATAAGTAAACATAAACTTTGTCTATGGAATTGTTGTAAGGAATATTCAAATATCTCTTATAAATCTTTAAGTATTTTGAACTAGCAGCCAAAAGAAAGATTTTGGTCTGTTCACTCAGCCATTGCCAACCAAGGATTGTGCACGGTCAAGCTTGAAAAAAGTGAATAAAGTTCTATAACAATAGGGATTCCTAACAATTCCCCTCTATTAACTTTGATCTATCACACTGTTGGTCCTATTGTTTCTTGTATTTTGTTGATTGGCAATATTTGGCGCTAACTTAATGTCCACGAAGGAGATCCCAGAGGTTTTTGACCGCGCGGAGAATGGTGACAAACAACAATGAAAACATTATGGCAGCACTTCCCGGGTCAGAAAATAATCTGCTAAAGTTTGAGTAAAACAAGAAATAATGACCAGTTACAATTAAGTGATTGTCACAAATGCCTTGTCATTTACAATTTTCCATACACCGGTTCGCTGGTCAAACACAAAGCGYTCAAGCGAGGCGCAATAAGGTACTTTCAAAGGAATATTCAAATTTGAACCTTGCAACCTCGACTGAATGCTTCATTGAGTTTGACCAGTGAACCGATGTATGGAAAATGACGATATCTGAGAAGGAGGTAACGTATACGTACTTTCCGGCTTTCAAGTACAATATTAGCCCGCACCATATAAAATGCCAACATGCCAAAATCTAAATGCTGGATGGTGAATTCACATCAATCGTTCTTCGATGTAATCTCGTTTATCATGGCATTTAATTTGGCTTAAACGATTACAATTTTAAATATAATTYGTTCCAATAAAATCTATAAAAAGGTAATGAACTGAACCCTTATGGAATACTTTTTAGTTTCCTTGAACTACATTGGTTCTAGATGAGATTGGTGTTTTTTACATTTTAGCATTAGCTGCTGTTTAACGTTGTTTTTCAAAGACTTAATGCGAAGAAGAACGTGGCACGACTTTGTCATTCGGGTTTTCGCCTTTGAAATCAAACACCATGCAGTTGGGAGACCTTTCGTAAATGAGGCTTGTTCCATATATGTGGTTACATAATCCTTTGCCATTTTTAAAAATCTTTAATAAAAGAGAATGCAGAATAAACGCCCAGCAAACCCCATACAACAGCCATGRTAACCTATACTTCCCATGACACCCTACACCACCCATCAAGTCCCATGCACTATCCACGACACCTCATACACCAAACATAGCAACCTACACTTCCCATGATACTACATACACCGTCATGCACTATTCTATTTTCTATGACACCCAAAGCTCCATAAAACAACAATGACACTCGATGCGACTTTCTTTTTGACTATTGACCTCCCATGACAGCCCTTAATCTAACCACACCATCCTGAATACACCATCCTTATACCAACATCGACACCCTTTGCACCATGTATGCATCCCCGATACACCTTGTGCAGCCATGATCAATATTTTTGTTAGACAGCGTTTTGCATCACGTACACGGAAAAGAATCAACAAGGCTGAGCTTTTATTTGTTTATTTATTTACTTACTTACTTACTTACTTACTTACTTACTTACTTACTTACTTACTTACTTACTTAATTATTAATTAATTAATTAATTAATTAATTAATTAATTTATTCATTTATCTCAATTTTACAAGAAAATTCTATAGAATACGAGAACGAAATTAAATATGTATCTAGTCAACCGAATCCATCAACGAATTTGAATATTACAAACATTAATCTTCTCCCAAGAGATAACGCTGAATGGATCGATAASATCGATAAGAATACATGTACATCTATTTCAATTAGTGATTGTTCTTCTGAAAGCGTGAGTAAGCCTGGTAATCTTCCATTATATACAAACGTTAACAAACCAACTACAATCTGCTGGGGTAAAAATTTAGAAGGCGTGGAAATTAATATTCCTACCATGGCCATACTAGAAGCTTACAACGAAATAACAA